GGAGCACCGGGAGATATTCCAAAGGCTCAGCTTTCAAAATCGAAATACAAACAATATATTTCAATAATGTGTTTTTTTTCACGCTCTTTAAAGGGGTCATATGATGCGATTTCAATTTTTCCTTTCTCGTGGCGTGACAGATCGCTGTATTCGTTTCAGTTTAAGCGGCATGTGAGCCTTTCCGATTACAATAATGAGACATTATTTTCATTATAAATTAAGCTATACTGTTTTTTCATGTCATCTGATGTTCCTTCACTTTTATATCTTCCTATAAACTTGAAATAAAGAGGAAAAACACATTTATAATTTGTATTTTGTGATAAAACTGACAGAATTAGAAAGCTGAGCTGTGTTAAAAGCAACAAAGCACAAAATTATTGCGATTACTGGGTGGCTGGCGTGCTACAAATAATGAATGGAAGACGTTAAATATTATGTCCAATCATTTACTGTATTATACCATGAATAAAACAGCTTGTGAATAGTCACTTACATGTTATAGCCTACAGGCTACCTCAGAAAAGAAACAATATAACTTATGTTAACAAGTTGGAGCCCACTTTAGAACGTTTTATTAATTAAATAGGCTACATGTGAGGAATAAAAGTATGGACGCCACAGACGTTTTTGCGGAGTAGGTGGTGGAATTTTCACAAATTTGGAATTTTGCGAAATACAAACAATATATTACAATAATGTGTTTTTTTCACGCTCTTTAATGTGGCGTGACAGATCGCTGTATTCGCTTCAGTTTAAGCGGCATGTGAGTCTTTCCGATTACAATATGACTGAGACATTATTTTCATTATCAATTAAGCTATACTCTTTTTTCATGCCTTCTGATATTCCTTTTATATCTTGCTATAAACTTGAAATAAAGAGGAAAAACACATTTATAATTTGTATTTCGTGATAAAACTGACAGAATTAGAAAGCTGAGCTGTGTTAAAAGCAACAAAGCACAAAATTATTGCGATTACTGGGTGGCTGGCGTGCTACAAATAATGAATGGAAGACGTTAAATATTATGTCCAATCATTTACTGTATTATACCACGAATAAAACAGCTTGTGAATAGTCACTTATGTTATAGCCTACAGGCTACCTCAGAAAAGAAACAATATAACTTATGTTAACAAGTTGGAGCCCACTTTAGAACGTTTTATTAATTAAATAGGCTACATGTGAGGAATAAAAGTTTGGACGCCACAGACATTTTTGCGGAGTAAGCCTAGGTGGTGGAATTTTCACAAATTTGGAATTTTCACAAAGAAAACAGTATCATTTAATGAATTGGTTTACATAAATACAGCGATCTGATCATTAAAGAGCTTGAAAAACACATTATTGTAAGACACATAATTTGTGTTTCGCTATAAAACTGATTTTGAAAGCTGAGACTTATATTAAAAGTAGGCCTACCAATTCCAGTAGCCTGGCAACTTCTCCCGGTGCTCTCAATCCGGGCCATTTGCATGCGCATTAAAGGCTATACTCTCAAAATATTATAACTTTAATTTCTGCGATTTAAATTCTCGAAACATTTCGACTTTATTCTCGTAACATTTCGACTTTATTCTCGTAATATTATTCTCAAAATATTTAGACTTTATTCTTGTAGTATTTCGACATTATTCTCGTAATATTTCAACTTTATTCTCAAAATATTTAGACTTTATTCTCGAAATATTACGACTTTAATCTTGTAATCTTAGATTTTTTATTTTTTTAACGTGGCACTAAAATGCCATCGTACTTAAGTGAATGATTCAGTTTTTTTGAATGAATCATTGTATTTGAACAAATCAGTTGAATGATTCACTGACTTACTCGCAGAGATGGTTATTTGTCTCCACCTACTTTAACAAATAAATTAAAAAAACAATATATATAGTATATATATATATATATATATTTTTTTTTTTATTTGTTATACATATACACACAAACTACTGTTCAAAAGTTTGGGGTTGGTAAGATTTTTTATGTTTTTGAAAGCAGTCCCTTATGCTTACCAAGGCAGCATTTATTTGATTAATTATACAGTTAAAACAGCGAAATATTAAAAACGATAAGAACTATTTTTAATATGTCATTTATTCTTGTGATGGCAAAGCTGGATTTTTTAAGCAGCTGTTACTGCAGTATTACACAGTTATTTTTGCATCTGACCTTATTGAATATGCATTTGTAGAAGTATCCCTTTCAGACGCAAAATTTATGGGAGGAGAGTATTAAAATCAATCACGCAGCTTGATTTACTAACATTTGCGCTCATCAAATTACTGGTATTTGCACCATTATTTAACGCTCCAAAAAAAGCACGTCTTAAAGGGGTCATATGATGCTGCTAAAAAGAACATTATTTTGTGTATTTGGTGTAATGAAATGTGTTTATGCGGTTTAAAGTAAAAAAAACACATTATTTTCCACATACTGTACATTATTGTTTCTCCTCTATGCCCCGCCTTTTTGAAACGCGTCGATTTTTACAAAACTTGGATTTGAGACTTTAGTCTTTGCAACTTTACAGATCTTCTTTATGCACCAAGAGCTTGTAACACTCTGAAGAGAAAGGAAAAAATGAAATCGCATCATATGACCCCTTTAAAGCAGACACTAATTTGCGCTGCTCTTGGTAGATTGTGTTGCTCATTATGGAAATGTTCTTTAATTTTTGCATTGCCAGTAAATCACCCACAGAAATTTCCACTCCCCTTAGCACTTTTTTGGAATTGCGCTCTCACGCTAATTTGCCCTGTTTAGTAAATCTGGCCCTAGATAGCAAAGAGACATGTTTGGTCATGTGCGCTCATTGAGATGATCAAAGGGCTTCAAAGAAGTCTAAATACAGGTGATGAACAGATTTTAAAAAAATGATCACCAAGATGTCAGTGTCCACAGTGGGGTGTATCAGAAGCTGAAACAGCAGCAGCTGGCCTTGGATTGGTTGGATGTTTGTGAGCATGTGTGTTTGAGTGAGGGTTTGATCATTTTCTAAGGGGTTTCCTCACAATGACTCACCTCTCTCAGTGGGAGGGACCTGATACGTTTTTCCTTTGTCAGCTGTTCTTAGATCAGCGTAGAGTAATGTGTTAGTGCAGATGTGAGATGGTGGGCTGTAAACCAGAAGAGTGGACTTGAAGAGATTGTGTGTGTGTGTGTGTGTGTGTGTGTGTGTGTGTGTGTGTGATTGACAGAGGCTCAGCCAACACTCCGTTGTGTGTGGTTGAGAATGAATGAGAACCATTTCACACCGGCTCAATATAATCCATTCTCATCAGACTGATTAATGGAGAGCTATAGGAGCGTGTGCTTTCTGTCTGCCACTCCCTCCCCTGACACCGCAGCTGCACAGAGATCCATTAGAGTATGTCACACCTGTGTTCTTGTGTGCGCATGAAATACCCAGGCACATGGAATCTGTGCGTGCAAAACTTGGCAGAAAGATCCATAGATTTCCGCAGAATTGGAACTGCCATCATTCACAAACTGTTTTTCTTAAAGGAGGCTATACTCACAGAGAATTGAATGTAATTATGCATGGTAATTACCATTTTTTCTATGATGAAGTACTCTCTCCAGTCCTAGCTTAATATGCAGAGACAACTTCACTGCAAAAGGTGAAAATGGGCAGTTTATACATTGATAAGCTATTTCTTCCTGATCTAAAATTACACTGTAACAAATTATTTTTTAAAGTTGTAAATAAAACATAACTATTGAGTATGTTTTACAAGAAAATACAGTTTCAGTCTTTCTACTTCAGAATTTCATGTTTAATTCAATGTTACTTGCTGTTTCTTTTTAATTATTTGTGAAATTTACTAGCAAATTCTGATTGAAATAATTTCTAAATTTTTTTTCAGAGTACTTTTGGCTGATGAAATCTGATGTAGTCAGGTTGATTTTATTTATATTAAATATTATTTAAATAATATTTTATAAAATATATACAAACATTTAATAGAAATATATATTGAAATAAAATTTATTATTTCATTCGTATTTATTTATTGATTTTTTACTCGTGTAAACCTAGTCTAAAAGTAAGCCACTCTCACCTAATGGTGTGAGTATGGGGCGGGACTATCTGTTCATCCAGCCAATGGCAAAGAGGGGGAGGAGTGTTCAAGAAACCATTGCAAAGATTCATCATTTTTGCAATTCCATTTGGTGATGCAAGTGGTGCATTATACTTCTCTTTTAGCTGTTAAGAAATCTTGTGTGTGAAATGTGCATCTAGGTTTGCAGTGTATGTACGTGTGCGCCTTTCCAGTATGGACGTGTGTATGTGTGTGTAGGACTGTAGGAAATGGAGGCCTTTATCATTCCCTGTGCAGGCTTACCTCCCCGTCTCTAAGCAACGGTTGCCAAGCAGCCTGTATAGCTAGAGCAGAACGAGAGAATGAAGAGAATGAGCACGAGAGAGAGTCTGTTTAGCTGAAGGACATCGTACACACACACACACACACACACACACACATTTACACACAGACACATATAGACACATACGTTGGTAAACTAACACGCAGGTTATCTCGTGTGTGCATATGAGACCACAGAGCTGGTTATGAAGGACAATGAATGTGTGTATCTGCAAGTTCACAATGTTCCATCTGAAGAGTCTCTCAGCCAACATCATCCTCTGAGAGAATGTGTGTGTGTGTGTGTGTGTAAGAGAGAGAGAGAGAGAGAAATGCAGGTGTGTGTCTCATTTTGAGAGACGCGTCTGTAATCACTAAGTGGTTTATCGTCTTTTTTTAGAATAAAGCACAAACTGTTACAGGAATTAGCCACTTGTCATCATTTGCAGGTTTACGGTGTGTTTATGCATCGCATTTGGTGTGTGTGTATGAGTGTTGTGTATTAATCATCTTAATGACAGCTCTCTGTACGGAGAGAAGCCCCATTACGCTGGGTCACATTTTAAGTTTATTACATGACATAAATGAATAACGATCACATGACTCGTGTTGCACTTTTCTCTCTCTCAGGGTTGGATGACTGTTTGCTGCAGTATATGAGGACATTTGAGAGAGAGCAGATAACTGGAGAGCAGCTGCTTCACATCACCCATCAGGAGCTGGAAGAGCTTGGCGTGACCCGCATCGGACACCAGGAGCTCATTCTGGAGGCTGTGGACTTACTCTGCGCACTGGTGCGTGTGTGTGTGTAAAAGAGACCGGCTGTGATAATGATGTGTTTGTTTTGTATTAATGACACAACAGACATTTTAATCAAACTCCGCTTAATACTGAATGATTAGCACCCAGCGGGAATCTCCCAACCAGTACACAAAAAGTGTGTGGAGGGAAGGGAAGATGCGTTTTTGGTTTTGATTGGCTGCTGGAGGAATTCATGCATCAGAGAGAGAGAGAGAGAGGAGGAGTTAAATCTAACTAGTTAACATCTTCACAGCTATTCATGCAAATTCATCTCAGAAGCAGAATTCAGGTTTATTATTAAAGAGCTGTTTTGGGTTAAACAAGAAGAACAGCAATAAATACTAATGTAAATAGGGTCCAAAATGATTTGTGACCCTGGACCACAAAACCAGTTTTAAGGTGCTTGGGTATATTTTTAGCAATAGCCAAAAAAAAATAGTATGGGTCAAAATGATCGATTGTTCTTTTATGCCAAAAATCATTAGGATATTAAGTAAAGATCATGTTCCATGAAGATATTTTGTAAATTTCCTACCGTAAATATATCAAAACTTAATTTTTGATTAGTAATATGCATTGCTAAGGACTTCATTTGGACAACTTTAAAGGCAATTTTCTCAGTATTTAGATTTTTTTGCACCCTCAGATTCCAGATTTTCAAATAGTTGTATCTCGGCTCTATCCTAACAAACCATACATCAATGGAAAGCTTATTTACTCAGCTTTCAGATGATGTATAAATCTCAATTTCAAAAAATTGACCCTTATGACTGGTTTTGTGGTCCAGGGTCAGATTTAAGATCTGATCGCAGACAACAGTGAATTCTACTCTGTACTCAGTCATGAATTAGCTTTCAAAAATAGTATATAAACACTGATGACAATTTTTGAATTTGTTTATTTCAAGTTTTCATTTTCATCTTAGTTCAAGTTTTTTTAAATTGGATTTTGTCATTTTTATTAGTTTTTGTTTTAGTTCATTTTAATTTTTTTATTTAATTTGAGTCTTAGTAATTTTAACTTAACCAACTTCAACTTAAAAAGTATACAAGATGACAATGTTCAAGTTTTTTGTCCAATTTTATTTGAAATTTAATCAACAAAACAATAGTTAATAATAACAACACTGCTTGACATTGAAATGCATGTTTCTACAGGCTTCCATTCAAAGTAAACATATTAAATATATCAAAGATGAGTTCAGATGCAAAAGCCTCTAAGTGCCATCTGAAATGTTCATCTAAAATGAGCATTTTTATCAGGCTTCTATATTTATGTTCAGTTATTTCACTTTAATGGCATAGAAAAGGACCTATATATTGCCATTAAAGTAAAATGACTGAACCTAAACATAAGAGCCTGATTAAAATGCTCATTTTAGATGAAAATTTCAGATGGCACTTTAGAGGCTTTTGCATCTGAACTCTTCAAATATAAAATTGATAATAATATTATAATTATAACAAATGATTCATTTGAACAAAAAAAAAACATATAATATAAATGTAAAATCTTATACATTACAATCACCAGTCAGTCAACCACTTAGCTAAAATGAGGGTTTTAAAATGTGCAGTTTCTATCTGACTCTAAAAGAAAATAGCATTTAGAAAAAGTGCATACCTCGCAAGACCTAACAACAGAAATATTTCAGCATGCCTGATATTAACATGCAGTGACAGACCATGTGAGGCACATCCAAAGTTCATTAAACGCTGGTAACTAAAAATTCAGCTTGAAACTTCTCCTTAATTTTTCAGCAGTCTACATGATGCAAAATAAAAAATACATTATAGAATCTCTCTGGATTATGTTATTGGGTTTCGTGAGGTGAACAGAATTAACAAACAAAAACATACAAAAGTGGAAGTAAAGCAAGATACATTGGCTGCCCTCTGAAGCACCATCCTGAAGCCTTTTTCTCCTTATAAATGTTGCATTAAACCTTTTTTTAAAACAAGAGTCACCTGTCAACAGATCCTTCCTAAATCCTCACAAGATTCTGCAGACCTTCCAGGGCTTGTTCTTTTAAAATCGTTTTCTTTGCTTTGGGTCTCGGACATACATAGCAACCTGAAAACTTATTTAGATTCTAAAGACACCTCGGAGAGCTTTTAAAAAGGTGCCATGAACAACATCAAAGACCTTACTGCTGAACCTATTTATATAAGGATCTATTTATAATAATGGTTGGAACATTGAATGGGTGTCTGCATATTAATATGCATTGAGGCTCTAATTTATGCAGCGATTGTGGTGCTTAGATAAGAGAATAACAGTCACGACTGTAGAAAATGGCACGTCAGTACTGCAGGTACCAACAAACACCATATAAAGAAAAAAAATCGAGAGGAAGTCAGAAAACCCCTCATTTCTATAAATGACAGACGTTGGGTCCAGCTGATTAATACTATAAACAAACCCAAAAGAAGAAATTTGAGAAAATACTACAAGCTCGGTCTGGTGATTGAACTATTCAGCCGATCGATTCACAGAAATGATGGGTTTTGCAGTTCCACAGCCTCCAAGCAGCAGTTCTGAGAAAAGGACATTTATTCTGAGTAATGCCTTTGCCAGATATGAATGGAGACTTGATTGTGTGCTTTATTTCATTTCACAGTGTAGGCAGTGTTTTATTTCTGAGTAACTTAGTGCGTAGTGATGACCCTCAGTACATGATGTGCGAATGCAGCTTGATAAGTTTTTCTTCTGCTTACACTTACACAGTGTGGCTTTTATGTCTCAGAATGAGAAAATCAGCCATAAGATCTGCTGTGCTTTGGTTTCCTAACTTGGACCATCTTAGGAAAAACTGATATTAGACTCTGAAAGATTTTTTTGAATGTTATGTAAGAAGTTACTTATGCTCACCAAGGCTGCATTCATTTGATTAAATTACAGTAAAAACGGTAATATTGTGAAATATTATTACAATTTCAAATATCAGTTTTCTATTTTTATATATTTCGAAATGTAATTTATTCCTGTGATGGCAAAGCTGAATTTTCAGCAACCATTACTCCAGTCTTCAGTGTCACTTGATCCTTCAGAAATCATTCCAGTATGTTGATTTGGTGCTCAAAGAAACATTTCTTTATTATTATCACAGTTAAAAACAGTTGTGCTGCTTTGTGGAAATTTTTGTGCAAACATTTTTCAGCATTCTTTGATAAATAGAAAGTTCAAAAGAACAGCATTTATTTGAAATGTAAATCGTTTGTAACGATGCAAAAGTCTTTACTGTCACTTTTGCTGACTTTAATGCATGCTTGCTGAAGAAAACTCTTTAAATTAAAAAACATAAAAATCTTACAGACCTCAAACTTTTGAATGGTATGTAAACATTTTTTTTCCTCCTGTTGCAGAACTATGGTCTAGAGACAGAGAATTTGCGGACTTTGTCGCACAAGCTCAGTGCATCCGCTAAGAATCTGCAGAACTTCATTACGGGCCGCCGCCGTGGGGGGCATTATGATGGACGGGTGTCACGCCGCCTTCCGAACGACTTCCTGACTTCAGTCGTTGACCTCATCGGAGCAGCAAAAAATCTACTAGCCTGGCTGGACAGGTACTCAAACAGATCTAAACAGGACATGAACTCACCTGGGCTGAACAGAACAAACCTATCATAGAAATGAATGGGACTATAATCAGACTTGATCGGAATGAATCAAAAGTGAATCAAATAGCCTTGATAAGCTGCCCAAAATATATATTTTTTGCTTGTATAGTGAAAACTATCCAGAAACCCAGGTTTGAGTCCAGCCCAGGTCATGTCATGTTTAAAATGTGAAAAAAGAGAAAAATGTAGCTCTTGTTGATTATATGGAATAGGGCTAGTTGTTTGTCCACTGTAATGGCCTCATCTCTTCGTGTATGTGTTTTGCTTTGTTTGCAGGTCTCCATTTGTCAGTGTTTCTGAGTACTCAGTGCTGAAGAACAATATTGTTCAGCTCTGTCTAGAGCTAACCACCATAGTACAGCAGGTGTGTGTGTGTGTGTGTGTGTGCGAGTGTTTTGGTATTCAACACACACAAACAGCCCAGTCCTTTATTATTATTTTAATGTACGTGTTTCTCTTTTCCACTCAGGATTGCACAGTGTATGAAACTGAGAATAAGATTCTACATGTGGTGAGTGTTTCTCAAGCCACACACACTTTCTTTTCACACACACAAACTTGTACAGCTAAACTTGTGAGGAACCCCTATGAACTGTATTGAGAGCATCTAATTTTGATTACCACAGGCAATTACTTTGACTCAGGAATGCATTAAAAATGAAAGCCATATGGAAAACCGAAGGGTTTAGAAGCAGAAATGTAAAATTCACATTTTTGTTAAACCTTTTACATGAATTTTTCAGTTGTGTGTTATTTGATTTGTGAAGATGTCTAAATCCCGCTTTTAAGGTGCAACCACCTTTCAAGGTAAAGAAAATGTCCTTTAAGACATTAACAAAGACATTACTTGGCCACTTTATAAAAGTTTTTTTTTACAAGTGAGGAACATCCGCCATACCTAAAGGCTGGTTTTAAGATATTTTACTGGGTGAAGTCGATACAAGCAAACACTCACACACTTTTCTCACTCACACACAGCCTTTAAAAGTATATTTCAAGTAAAAACGTGATTGTGAAGTCACATGTATCTAGCTTGCTCTGAAGCAAAAATCTGTTATGTGTGCGTGTGCATGTGTGTTTAGCCTAAGGTTGGATATCTTGAATAATGCAGATTGTGAAGTTTTCTCCCGTCAGGATCACTGCCTGTAGAACAGAAAGAGATAGAGGGAAGGATGGAAGAATGGAGACAAATAAAGAGAAAAAGATGAAAGAAAGAATATAGCATGAATAAATCTATATATATAGCATATGACTTATTAACGACTTATACATTATTGGTATATTTCATGATGCTGAACGCCTTCATCACTGCTCCTTTTCAGTTCAACGGCTCTAATTAGACTGAGAGATTTACTATGAAACTGCAAACATTTACTGACAACACTGTCTGTCTCTTATTGTCTTTCTGTTTTTATCTCTCTTTGCAGTGTAAGACTCTATCAGGTATCTGCGAGCACATTATTTCATTGTCGTCCGATTCGTTGGTGTCGCAGTCTGCCCACCTAGAGGTTGTCCATCTGACGAACGTTATGCCTAGCGAGGGCCTGGTGAGTAAACAACAGCAATATCCCTTTCATAATCAACAGAAATATGAGAATGTGCATTATAGTTGTCTCTGCATATTGTAATGTGTAATATGCAGAGACAACTATAAGACAACTATTTGCAGACATATGCTGCCATAAAGTGCACCTATGAAGCTCGTACCTCGAGCATTCGTTATTACGGCATGTCATGCATTTAAGCTGGAAGCATAACATGAAAGTAGCCTAAATACCCAAGTACCCAAATAACTACATCTGAATTCAAAATGATGAAAATATGTGGTGCACAAACATATTTGGTATTCAAAAGTTTTCAAAAAAGCAAACCCCGAAAGTCGCTTGATTAACTTTACACTTGATGTCTAAGCTGTTCTGTACATTGTGCCTTCAAAATGATTAAAGGGGTCATATGATGCAATTTAAATTTTTCCTTTCTCTTTGGAGTGTTACAAGCTCTTGGTGCATAAAGAAGATCTGTAAAGTTGCAAAGACTAAAGTCTCAAATCCAAAGAGATATTCTTTATAAAAGTTAAGAGTCAACCACGCCTACCTAAAACGGCTCGTTCTAACACGCCCCCACATGTCTACGTCACAATGTGGGAAGATTTGCATAATGCCGCCCAAATGTTCACGCAAAGAAAGAAGGCGTAACTTTTATTCTCGCTGTAGTATTGTTGTTGCCGCCGCCCCCATGTCGTGAAGGCGCTGTGTGTTTTGTTATGAAAGCGAAACTACTTTGTTTGGCCTTCCAAAAGAGAACGATATCCGCTTCGTCATGCCTGGAGCTGATCCGTGCTGGTCGCTGAGGAAATACATCAACTTCATGCTGTGGATCGCCGGATCGGCTTTCACTGTGGATGAAGCGGAGTCCAGCCCGGGGTCGTCACATGTGGTTGCCGCAAGCCCGCCAGACACTCCTTCGTTGAAACCCGCCGGCCGCGCTGTTCTCAAGCCCGCCGGCCGCCGCTCACTCAAGCCTGCCATGTGTGACGCTGTGTGTTTCATTGTGAAAGCGAAACTACTTTGTTTGGCCTTCCAAAAGAGGACACAACTAGAAATCAGTGGTTAAGTTGTATTTACAACACTGTTCCAGAACAGTTCAACCCAAATATTCAGATGTGTGCAGCACATTTTATGGAGGACTGTTTCCTGATCCTGATAGACTGTAATACTGTGGTTACCCTCATACCCTCGTAATGCGCCTCGGTGAACTAATACAGTGATCTCAGATCTCAGAATACGCTTTATTGATGATGCAAACTATATCGACAGTTAAGCAGATGTAGAATAAGAACGAACGCGCAAGGTTTCACGATGTTTCCCTCAGAAATCTGTTAAAGAAAACGCATTATGTAGCTCAGTTCACTAACGCAATGACAGCTATTAAAAGACCAAACTCAGATCTTACTGATGATGCAAACTATAAACAGGCAGATGAGGATATGAACGCAAGTTACGGAATGCGCAAAACTGCACGTTAAACA